ACTATGATAAGTAGAGCTGGTTTGGCTCCCCATGTAAACTTTGATTCAGTCTTTAGGGGGCGCTAATGGGCCAATTTAAAATATTTCACTTTCACCTGACCTAAACCCTGGAGTTGAACAATGGGTTCAAGTTTGATGCAAATCAGACTTTGTATGTGCAAACGGGAAAAAAATGAATGTTGTCAAAAACGGCAGAAAAAAACTTTCCATTTTGCCGCTCCGCTGCTCAAACAACGTTTCACTGATCACAATTCCCTGAAGTCATTTTGAAGATAAATGTGTTGAGATAATTTGGAGCAATTTTGAGGCCAATCGGTGAAACGGTCGAGGAGGAGTCGCTTTCCAACCGACATGTATGAAAATGATTGGTTTTCATTTTTCCATTTTGCAATGAAATGTATGGGCTTCCTGTTTGTCAGAGGGCTTAGCCATAATACAATTTTTTCCATGTCTTGACTTAAGGAATATGTGTACCAAATTACATGGCTCTACGCCAATTTTGACCTTGAACCCCTCCCGTAGGCATTTTTAAATTGGCTGTTGTAGGTGGCGCTATAGAGCCAATTTCAAAATTTTTACTTTCAAATGACCTAGACCCAAGAGTTGAACCATGGATTCAAGTTTTGTGCAAATCAGACTTTGTTTGTGCAAACGAAAGCAAATTTTCTACTGTTAAAAACGGAAAAAAATTACGCCACTTTTTTGCGCTCCGCAGCTCAAACAAAGTTTCACTGATCAAAATTCCCTGAAGTCATTTTGATGGTACATGTGTTGAGATAATTTGGAGCAATTTTGAGGCCAATCGGTGAAACGCTCGAGGAGGAGTCGCTTTCCAACCGACATGTATGAAAATGATTGGTTTTCATTTTTCCATTTTGCAATGAAATTTATTGGCTTCCTGTTTGTCAGAGGGCTTAGCCATTATAACATTTTTTCCATGTCTTGACTTGAAGAACATGTGTACCAAATTACATGGCTCTATGACTATTTTGACCTCAAACCCCTCCCATAGGCATTTTTAAATTGGCTGTTGTAGGTGGCGCTATAGAGCCAATTTCAAAATTTTTACTTTCAAATGACCTAGACCCAAGAGTTGAACCGCTGCTCAAACAACATTTCACTGATCAAAATTCCCTGAAGTCATTTTGATGGTACATGTGTTGAGATGATGTGGAGCGATATTGAGGCGAATCAGTGAAACGGCCGAGGCTGGTTTGATTTTTGTGTGAGGTGTACATTTGCAATGAATGGGGAGCGTTTGTCGTCGCCACGGCAACAGGGTAAAAAATAAGCCTTGGACCCAATTGACTTTTTGAATCAAGAGGGCAAAACAGATTTTTGTGCAAAATTTCAAAACATTTTGAAAAAACTAAATTTGAAAATGCCCATCTAAAACTTTGAAATAGTCTGTAGGGGGCGCTAATGAGTCAATTGGAATCATTTAACTTTCAAATGACCTAGACCCTAGAGTTGAACAATGTATTAAAGTTTTGTGCAAATCAGTCTTTGTTTGTGCAAACGGGAAAAAAATGTATGTTGTCAAAAACGGCCAAAAAAACACTCACATTTTGCCGCTCGGCTGCTCAAACAACGTTTCACTGATAAAAATTCCCTGAAGTCATTTTGAAGGTAAATGTGTTGAGATAATTTGGAGCAATTTTGAGGCCAATCGGTGAAACGGCCGAGGAGGAGTCGCTTTCCAACCGACATGTATGAAAATGATTCGTTTTCATTTTTCGATTTTGCAATGAAATTTATGGGCTTCCTGTTTGTCAGAGGGCTTAGCCATAATAACATTTTTTCCATGTCTTGACTTTAGGAACATGTGTACCAAATTACATGGTTCTACAACAATTTTGACCTCAAACCCTTCCCATTGGCATTTTTAAATTGGCTGTTGTAGGTGGCGCTATAGAGCCAATTTCAAAATTTGAACTTTCAATTGACCTAGACCCAAGAACCATGGATTCAAGTTTTGTTTAAATCAGACTTTACTTGTGCAAACGAAAGCAATTTTTCTATTGTCAAAAACTGAAAAAAATACGCCGCTTTTTGGCGCTGCGCTGCTCAAACAACGTTTTACTGATCAAAAGTCGGTGAAATCAAAATGACGGTACATGTGTTTAGACGATGTTGAGCGATTTTGAGGCAAATCGGTGAAACGGCCGAGGGGGAGTCGCTTTCCAACCGACATGTATGAAAACTTTTGCTGTTCATTTTTCCATTTTGCAGTAAAATTCATGGGCTTCCTGTTTGTCAGGGGGCGGAGCCATAATAATATTTTTTTCTTGTCTTGACTTGAGGAACATGTGTACCAAATTTCATGCCTGTACGACAAACTTGACCATGAAACGCTCCAATACTAAAAACTTTGACCCCATCTCTAGGGGGCGCTAAAGAGCCAAGTTAATTTATTTCACTTTCAAATGACCTAGACCCTAGAGTTGAACAATGTATTAAAGTTTTGTGCTAATCGGACTTTGTATGTGCAAACGGGAGCAAATTTAATGTTGTCAAAAACGGCCAAAAAAAGGTCACATTTTGCCGCTCCACTGCTCGAACAATGTTTCACTGATCAAAAATCCCTGAGGTCATTTTGAAGGTACATGTGTTGAGATGATGTGGAGCGATTTTGAGGCAAATCGGTGAAACGGCCGAGGAGGAGTCGCTTTCCAACCGACATGTATGAAAACTTTTGCTGTTCATTTTTCCATTTTGCAGTGAAATTCATGGGCTTCCTGTTTGTCAGAGGGCGGAGCCATAATAATATTTTTTTCTTGTCTTGACTTGAGGAATATGTGTACTAAATTTGATGGCTCTACGACAAACTTGACCTCCGAAAAGTCCCATAGGGGTATTATTTTGGCTGTTGTAGGTGGCGCTGTTCTGGCATTTTTTGAGTCCCATTAAAATAAACACCAAAATATCAAATTTTTTGCCAGGTCTGATTTTTGGGCAAAATTTAACAACTTTTCATGCATGTTCAGGGGGTCCAATTAAGGCTCAAAGTGCAGAAGAAAAAAGAAAGAAATAAATAAATTAAAGCCGCAAGCGGCGTCGAACGGCCCTCGCCGCACCGCGCGACTCCCTGCACCGAGCGCACTCCCCGCACCACGCCAAGCCGCCCCGCCCCAAGCCGCCCCGCACCAAGCCGCAACGCGCCGCTCCACAACGCCCCGCACTACGCCGCACCACACCGTACCACGCAGCACCGCTAAAAGGAGGTGGCACCGCCGTGTGATGATTTGTTTCCGTAGCCATAGAAGAATGTTAGTCAAATTGTAATGAATATGATAAGTAGAGCTGGTTTGGCTCCCCATGTAAACTTTGACACAGTCTGTAGGGGGCGCTAATGGGCCAATTTCCAATATTTCACTTTAACCTGACCTAAACCCTGGAATTGAACAATGGATTAAAGTTTTGCGCAAATCAGACTTTGTTTGTGCAAACAGGAGCAAAATTAATGTTGTGAAAAAGAGCCAAAAAAAACCTCACGATTTTGCCGCTCCGCTGCTCAAACAACGTTTCACGGATCAAAATTCCCTGAAGTCATTTTGAAGGTACATGTGTTGAGATGATGTGGAGCGATTTTGAGGCGAATCGGTGAAACGGCCGAGGCTGGTTTGATGTTTGTGTGAGGTGTACATTTGCAATGAATGGGGAGCGTTTTGCTGATCACACTCTATATTTATTAAAAGTTCACCACCTCGTAATCTCTCTGTGCTGTTGATCTTTGAAAGATACGGAGTCTTCATCGCTCAAGTAATTTTTGCATTATTTTATGTAAAACAAAATAGGAATCTGGCAAATTGCTACATGAGTTGTTTGACAAAAATGCACACACATGTTATAAAAAGTAAAAAATATATCAATACAAAATGGTCCTCTGGTGACATTGCTCTACAGTTGTTTGCCTCCCAATGTGTTATAAGCAAATAACACTAAATATTGTTCGCTTTATCAGACTTGTCATGTCCTGAAGCGGCAGTTGAGGTCTGCTGTCCATGGATATCTGTGACGTTTGAGTGTTGGAGCAAGCCTTCGCCTTTGACAACCTCTTCAGAGGCTGCCATGATGAACTTGCGAATTTTCCTTGTGGCGAAATAGTACACCACGGATAAGGATACAGGTTTTCAAACCCATCAGCACCAAGTCACCTGATGTGCGTCGTTGAATGTTGTAAGATCTGGTTGGAACCATTGCACGCTGCCCAACCTTCTTGAACTGCCAACACGCTAACGCCTACGGCCTTGGACAACGTGGTGTGCAAAAAGCACAAGATGGAAGACACCGGACAACCGCTAGCAGCAATCTGCGTGCTTTTTGCTTGACACCTCTGGGGCTTTGCGTCGGAAAAACTCCTGGTGGACTCTCCTGGATTTAATCGTAGATGACCTTATCTCAGATTGGAGCGGAGATTGCGTGATGAGTTTTGAACGATGCGTAGGTTGCATATGACGAAAAAAAAAATGAGGAAATATGATAAACGAAAAACATTGCGATTATGGCGAAATGGGTCGCGGCTACGGTTTTCTTTGGAGAATCGGTTTGATTTTGGGTATCCTTCCAAAGCCAGCGAGTTTTACCGTCGAATCCAAGTTGGTTCAGGTGAAAGTAGATAAGGAACGGACATGGCGGACGACAGCAAGCAAATGACAAAGAAAATTACTATCCCGCGATTTTCGACGGTCCGAAGATACAGCATCAACGGCTTCGAGACGCCCAGTATCGGTTGACACTATAGCACCCAAGAAAAGGATGGAAGAATATGTATTGACGAAAAATTGGGTTCATGTTAAACGACACATAAATCGGAGTATATTCCAATCGCACGACGACTGTAATAATCGATCCAAAAAGGTAGCGCGACCACGAGAGAAGGGTCCGAACGGTGTGTTGGTCATGTAGATGCGAATTCTCGCCATTGGCTCTAGCTTCGCGAAGACAACGAATCACGAACAGGACGTAGAGTTGGCGAGAAGGACCAGTGGGCGAAGATCTTAGCCGTAGATGGGAGGGGAGAGGGCATAGCGAAACTCCGAGTCCAGGAAGGAAGAGGAGTTGGTGGTGGAGAGGGGAGACCGCTTGGGGTGGCTGTGGGGAACCAGGGTGGAGGAAGCATAATGAGTCCAACTGGGGATAGAGAAAAAACTGTGTTAGAATAATATTTAAGACTAAGATTAAAGAGTTTTTTTTCCTCCACTGTGGAGCGAATGTCAGTGTTGCATCCTCAGTGATAGAACAGTAGGAATGAGGAGCCACCACTAAAAAAGTGTAAAGCCGCTAAAATAAAGTGAGTAAAATTAAATACATTCTAAGATTTATCAAATTAAGAAGCAAGTTTAAGTCTATATAGTTGGCTAATAAGAAGCCAAGTTTAAAATGTCTACCTAAAACATTTATAGTTGAGGCTTGTTTGCAATGTCCGTCCCTAGGAGGGTTATTAACCACTATTAAAAAACATTATTACATTATAAAATTCACATTATACAGACAGGCAGACAAAGTAAACATTGAAGATAACAAGAACAAGAAAAGAGGACATCACAAAGCGAGTTTCAGTGCAAATATGCGGTAAAGTGCAATAGTTTGGTATAAAGTGATATGGTGCAGATTAGGTGCTTCACAACTGTTAATGTAGTTCCCCAAACTTTATTCCCGCACAGGGCCCTATGGCGTCGTCCTGAGGGTAAAAGTGTTGCTGGCAAACCAACATTTAGCTCAAACAATATCATTTTAGGTTTATGTACAAGTTTAGTTAAGAAGGAGAGAAAAACTGGATATGATACAGGGCGAAGACATGCACCAGATAAACAAGACAGGGTTTAAGTCCTGGACCTCTGGGTAATACTTTATTGGAGCAATTAAAATAAGTCGTTAGTCTTTATTGCCAGCGTCTAGTGCTAGAGGTAACAGCGTTAAATAAGGCTTTGAGAGTCGAGCTGAGTGTCCACAATAGCACTTAAGATGAGGAGAACTTTTTCGTCCCACGTGGGGGAATGTCAAAATATATAATATAAGCAGCTGCTTGCTTTCTTAGCTAGCTGTAAATGCTACTTATGAGCAGCAATTATAAATATGCAGTATGTGTGTGTTTGTGTGTAAGTGTTATGCAGGATATCAAGTAGTTAAAGGGACAGTCATGGGACCCTCTGAATTGGCAGTATTGCAATATTGCACATGATTACAAAACTGTACTATTTGCAGATGGAAGGTACTAGTACAAGTTCAGCAGTTTCATTGTGCAGTCTGACTGCGCAGGAGAAAGAACCTGTGAAACCTCTCATTCACATCGTGGGTGTCTGTCTGTCACTGCATCTGCTCTCCGAGATATAAGTTTGAAAGATGATTAGATTGTTTATCATTCTGGCTGTTTTCGTAAGATGTTGGATCAAGAACGGTGTCCCTCCAGAAAGGCCTGATAATATTCAAGAGTCAAGATTAGTTTATTAATGGTACCGAAGGAATATTATATGACTTCACAGTTTTCTACATTGGAAGTGCACTTAATTCAATTCATTCAATTATTTTTTTGCAATTCCTAAATTCGCAACTGTAGCTATCTCAGAAGAATTAAATTTCAGTTCAGAACAAGAATGCAATGATTTTCAACAAAACACATAGAGCCATTGAGTCCAGAAGACAGAAATGCAACATACAGAGCAATGCAGGTGGTTCTGGAGTGTTCACGATTTTAGAGAGATACAAGTTGTTATTTCCCAGGATGTGGATATCTTTATTACTATTGGTTGAGACTCTGCAGCGTCCAAATGGGAGGAAACTCACTCTGGAAGTGATTAAGAACAAGATTCTCAAATATCAGCTGTAATGTCAAGAATGGATGCTCTCTAACTGTTATACACACTTATCTGTACAGTTCGTGCTTTTGTTTTACCAAACACGCACACGCACACACACACACACACACACACGCACAAGCACACGCACACGTACACACACACACGCACACGCACACGAAATGAAGTCAGGGCATGAGTCGATGTGGATTCCCCAGTATCTATAGTATCTCTGAGCAATGGGATGGAGAGGCAAGTAACTAATAAAATTCTTAACGGTAATTTACCCAACTCTTTCGACTCTTAATCTGTATCATTGTAATGGATCACTCATCTGAGCATATGTTAAATATGATCATCATGTCTGATTAAGATACACTGTGTACTATATACATAAGGACTGAATAAGAATGAGGAAATTAAATCTCTGACTCAGATTCATCACATCGAAAAAAAAATACATCTAAGATTCGGAATACGTCTCAGGAGTTGTGGGCGTTGATAATGATTAAGAGATGTTATTCGTCCCACCGTGGAAATTTCAGTGTTGCATCACTCAGTGACTGAACAGTAGGAATGAAGAGCACACAGCACAAGATGAAATTAACAACTACCTTTTATAATGTTATAAAATTGAATAAAATCTCTAAATTCCAGCGATACTAATAAAATAATAATAATTAATTCAAATAACAAAAACAGACCAGAGAGAGAGAGTGAGAGGGGTCAGAGGGCAAAGAGTCCCAGATAGAGGACCTGTGACAGACCAGAGAGAGACCAAAGAGACACCAGATAGGAGACAGACAGAGCCAGAGAGAAAGACCCACAGATAGAGACCTGTGACAGACAGAGATAGACCAGAGAGGAGACCAGAGAGATGACCAGAGAGAAAGACCACAGTTAGAGAGGTCACCGAGAGAGAGGACCAGAGAGACCCCAGATAGAGAGGTCACAGAGGACCACAGATTGAGAGGTAACAGATGAGACCACAGATAGAGAGGGCCACAGAGAGACCAGAGAGAGAGACCTCCGAGAGAGTGACCACAGAGAGTCCAGAGAGAGACAGATGAGAGAGGCCACACGAGAGACCAGATAGTGAGTCAGAGAAGGAGATTGTAGATTAGAAGATATTTAATGTTTTCATTATTTGTTCTTAATTATTGCCTCTCCACCTGTTCTGGTCTGCTCCGTTCACCAGTTGTCTTGTCTTGTGGTGCAGTGAGAGAGAGGGAGAGAAGGAGTGGAGAGCAGAGTGAAGGGGCGGAGTCACAAAACTCCTCATTGTGCAACTTTCTTTTTCGCTTCAGATTTTACAGTTCCCTTCAAATATTTTTTCCCTTATTTTCTTGTATTTCTTACAAGGCAAACAATTTCAAATATATGTTGGAAAGTTGCTCTTTGCTAAAGTGAGAGATTTAAACTTTCTTTTTCTTATGTCAGACGATTGTTTGTACTTATACGTTTTGAGGTATTACTCAGTTTATCTCTGTGCTCGTCATTGCTGCCTCTCATGGTGATGCAACACTGATATTTCCCAGTTGGACAAATAAAGATCTCTTAATCTTTGTCTAAACCACTGTTCATTCTTTGTGGACTTTCCTGCGGGTGCTCCAGTTCCCACAGGTGCTCTCTCTACACGGTCAGACTCCAGAGACCCTGATAGAGAGATACTTCATGTTTAAACTTTGAAACATCTGGAGACACTGCCCACTCCATGCCATTTCACAACTATAAACAGTTCCGAAAGACAAAAGAGAAAAAAAGCTAAACAATTATAAATAGAAATGTGGGTTCACCCAAAACAAGCCAAGGAGGAAGGTAAGAAGTACCATGGAGGATTTACTGACGATCTGGAACCATGGTGAAGGGTGAACCGGGTCTTTACACTGCAGTAGGTGTAGGTTAGTTACCATATGAACCAACTGGGCCTCTGAGGAGCACAGGGACTGGCACTTCCTGCTGGGACTCTGAGGAGCACAGGGACTGCTCTGCTGGGACTCTTGAGGAGCACAGGGATGGCTCCTGCTGGGACCCTGAGGTGCACAGGGGACTGGCCTCTTGCAGTGACTCCAAGAGCACAGGGGACTGGCCTCCTGCTGGGACTCTGAGGAGCGAAATAAAGGACTGGCCTCCTGGCTAGTCCAGAGTCAGGACTAAACATGGCATCGGCAGCTTTTCAAAAACAGTTTTTTTTGAAAATGTGAGCTTCTTCTCCTAACAATTTCAAATCAAGTTAAAACTATTTTGTTTCTCTGTGCCATTACAACTGAGGGACTTCTATATTCAATCTTTTTGTGCGGTGCTTATTTATGTTTTATTTATGTTTACATTTTTGCTTTTCGTTAGGGCACCCTTTTTTGAGGTTGCACTTGTGTATGAACTATATACATTCTTTAAGCCACAGTGACAAGAAAAGACAAGACTGAAACAGTACACTGTCACTTTAGATTCACAGTACAATTCAAGAAACATGTAAAAACCTTCAAACAAGGTCAGAAATCTAGGGGGTAATACTGGACTCAGTAACATCAGCAGCTTTTTTCCATCTAAATAACATTGCCAGATCAAAAAACATAGTGTCTATAGCAGCGTACTTGGGATTCTTATCCATGCATTTGTCTCAGTAGGTTAGGGACTACTGCAATGGCCTGCCCTCACAGGTCTGTCCAAAAAGGCTGTAAAAAAGCTGCCAGTACATCAAATGTACTGCAGCTGACTAGAACCAGGAAGTTAGATCATAATAGTCCAGTTCTCAGGTCTCTGCACTGGCTTCCTGTGGCTCAGGAAATAGACTTTAAACAGCTCTGCTTGTGTACAAGTCTCTCCATGGCCTCGCACAAAATATTATTAGTGACATGTTAGTCCCATATGAACCAGCCCGGACTCTGAGGACCAACAGGCGATGGACTCATGTTAGGGGCACAAGAGTCAGAAAATAAAACATGGGGAGGCTGCTTTTCAGATTCATGCTGCTAAATCTGGAACATCTATCCAGAAGATGTGAGACAGGCCTCCCTCTCTGACAATGTGTCAAACCAGGTTAAAAAACAGTTATGTTTAGCTGTGCATACACTGCGGGATTTTATATTTTTATCTTTCTTGTTTAATTTACTGTGATTATTTATGCTATTCTGATTTGTTCAGCACTTTGAGTTGCCTTTGTGTATGAATTGTGCGAATACAATAAACTTGCTTGCCTAACAAACTACAGAGAGTGAGCGAGCGAGATGAGAGTGCAGAGAAACCGGGGAGAGTCCTGATGTGATGGGTGTGTTCTAATTCTAAACTAATCTTTACCAACGACCTGTATTACTGAAATTCTGTAACACCTAGATGGCAGTAGAGACGGTTTAGGCAGAGCAGCACTTCATGCCTAAAAATAAATCCTGCTAACCAACTAATATTAATATTGTCATGTCATGTTATACTGTCATTTGTATAATACAACATGGTTCACAACATGATAAATTATACCGATGAAATAAATAAATCATGGTTTAAAACTAAAAATACACAATTCAATAGAATACAGAGTTCCCACAGCCAATGAATGTCACATGACCTCCTCGGAGAACGCCATCTATTGATGGCACGCTGCTGTGTTTGTGCATTCCATTAAAAGAAGAATTGAGAATTAAATGTAGATATTCAAACGACAAATTGGAAAAAAAGGGCAAACCTTTTGAGCAAATAATTGTCCATATTAATACAATGGCACCACAGTTTAACAGTGCTACGGACATGTTTTACATTTTTGATCAAATTATGCAGCAAAAATTAACATAAGCAATGCAAACATTTCTCAAAAACTTTAGATTTAATACCAGTTGAGCTCCATTTAATTATTTTAATTTTATTAACAATTAATTTAATTAATGCTAATGCCACACGGACACTCGGATTGCTGTTATTGTTTATTTTCGCGTTTTTGACCGTATGTTTGGTGGAATGGTGGGCAACTGATTTTCCAGGCGTTAAAGAGCAGTTTATTTTATGACACAGATCTTTTTACAGAAAGCATGCTGTTTGTGAACATTGTTTAGCCCACCATAGAACTATTATTATCTATTTAATAAATTTACGTGCCCTCGTGAGCTCGGACGCGACACCGATAATCTCATAATAAAGTAATCTAACGCCAAATCAATGAACCTCTCAAGTTACCAGATATCAGCATACACAAGTTAGTACTGAGTAAATTCGTCTGTCAACAACATTATAAGATACGATACGCCACTGACACAAAGTGCTCGAGCATATTCTTGCGTGTTTTGAGGGAGTTTCTTGCCTGTTTATCTTCGCAAGCCTTAGACCTCGTGGTTGTTCTGACAAAAAGCTTAGTCTTCTCACATTCTGAAGTCTAATGATGGGTATACTGTTAAAATCCAAGTTTAACGGAACCTCCGGCACGATTTGACATCCATTGACCCAGCAGGAGATGACCATTTTCAACATTTATCACGACATTAACACGTTTCAGCTTCTTTTTCTATTGGTTTTGCCACACAGATGCCAAAACAAATGGGCGCCGGGTCGGCAAATCCCAGTATCGTAGTGACGTCATGTGGGAACTGTGCGGCGCGTGCGTGGGGTGTGTGTGTGTCTAGCAATGTATCATCAATTAACATTCAACTAAAACAAACGGTTTTATACATTTTATCATCTAAAACTACTGCCAAAGAGATGAATTACATATTAAAAGGTTGAATTCAATCTGCTAAGTTGTAACTATGCAGTGAACGCCCCCCTGCAGTGAAAGTCAGATCCCGTCAGACCTCTGACAGGTAAGCAGGACAGGGCCTGGATTAATACAGTGATGGGAGACCTTGAATTAAAATCAAATAACAAATGTGATAGTGAATGTTTCCCCGCTTCTTTTGTCCTGCACCTGTGTATTTTTAGCTGAAGATAATGACCACATGCTTTCACACACTTTTGTCAAAGTATTTCTGTTAATAAATATATACGAGGCTTGTGGTCACTTTAATTCTTGAGTAAAAAGTGTATCTAGTCAGGCGTCGGGTGCTGCTGGACTGGTGAGTGCAGCCAGGGGGCGCTGTGGAGGCCTGAGATATGTACATGTGTAAAGTGTGCAGGAGTGAACCACTGGCTACATTTGATCCGCACATCTGACTCTGCTTAATCCTAACTCAGAGGCAGCATGGACACAGCTCTGTCCGCAGTGGTCAACTCATAGTTACAAATCTATGGTTCAACTGGGAGGGAACATGTGTCAACAAGAGATATTTGGGGTGACAGAATGAAATGACTTAACGTTGACAAAATTAGAACTGTTTTTTCAATGCTGGAGAAATGTTACCTTTTTTTTTTTTTTATTGTTTTAATAAAATCATTGTACAATAGCAAAAAGCAAGTTAAGCAGTAAGCTTTTTCTTCATGGTGTAACTAAAATTTGCCCATGAGACAAGTATAAATCTCTTGTTAAATAAACACAATCACAATAAATGACAATATATTTATATTGTGCTTGAAATAATTGTGGACATGATATAATGTTCAGATCTCTCAGTGCTCCTTTTGTCGTATAGTCATTTTGTTTGATCCGTGTGTCACCGCTGCAGCAGGAAAGATTTGGATTCAGATCTGTGAATGAACCCGCGCTCCACAGTGTGCGTTCTGTAGCTGTGCGCCAGGTCTGCGGCGATCTCAATGGAGAGGCCCTTTTTGCAAATCTCACAATTATAATACAGTAATATAGGTTACAAAGTGATATAGATTCAAGTTAAGTAAACTCAAACCATTTTTTTCCCTTTTTTTTGGCTGCTATGTTTGCTGTCCTGTTCTACAGTATGTACAAAGGTCTATTTATATTTGCTTCTACGCTAATTTTCTTACACAATTATTATTATTACTTACAACTCTATTATGTTTTATACAGTTATTCCTTCTATCCGTGTCGAGCTCAATACCAAACCTAGGTTTTTCAGTCTTATCATATATACACCATTGCAATAATTATTCCACTAATACTTTAATTTAAGAGTGTTACAATGACCATTTTTTTACAAGGTTGTGTTATCCAAAAGTTTAGATTCAAACCAAGACATGTATATAACATATACAATGGTAATATTCTAATCGACCCAGGCAACGTTGGACCCTAACCAATTGGCATCGGGGGCCAAAAAGGTTGAGAATCTCTGACACACTGTATACATGATTTTGATTGATTAATGAATAAATAAAACTAAAAAGTGGGGTGAGAAAAAATTACCTATGCTAATCCACTTCAGAAAGTTACCTGATTTCAGTATTATTACAGGTTTAGACCTAATGACGGAAACAAAATTGCCAACACAAATTACAGAAGCAAACAGTTGAAACACAGTTATAGAAAACACATACACGCCTGGGTCATAAGGGGCAGAGACCAATGTCCATAAATGTTGATAGGAGTCCAATGAAATGTGCTTATCAATGAAACAGTATTGGCAATTACACACATCTTTTTCTCTATTTTATCGGACTCTTTCAGTTCTTTGGAGAACTTCTCTTTGGTCACCTTCCATGACATATCTGTGCATTCTTGATAGAGCTGCTTCTTTGTTGTTTTGGTGAAATCTGCTTTACATCATCCTCCAGATGTTTGTAGATTAGTGCAGGTTCCATGGGGGGGGGCTTTCTTTTCTTCTGGTGTCTTCGATCCTACGTCTTCAGCCTCAGCAGTGGGACACAAGAACCGGCCAAGTTCTGCCGTTCTCTTTTGTTAGATACTTTTTATATTCCTGAACACTGGTGAGCAGAGGTTTCATGGTCCGTGATCAAATTGAACTTTTGCCCTTCCTCCTTTTCATCTGGGTGTCATTTATCTCTTTGCCGTGAGAGCGGAACGTTTAGGAAGTTTCAATCCATTTAATTTTGTGTATATCCCTGAATCACAACATGTAGTTATCTCGGAGGAATTTACAAAACTGTTGAATTTGCCACAGGACACATCGAGAATTCAACAGTATAACACAACAAATGCAATGATAAAAAAACACACATGGAGCCCCTTGTCTATAAGTCTAGAATCATCACTGGACTATTGATGCTCTTGCTTGTTCCTTCTTGTGTGCTGAATAATAGCTCAAATCCCAATTGTGGGAAAAAGTGGCAGGCTGGGATCATAAAGATGTAAAAATGTTATCAATGTATCATTTTATTTGCACTTCCTCAAAACACCCACTATACTCCACCTCCATTCAGTGTGGTCCTTCAGCAATCTGTTGTACTTTGCTGCTGAGAGATAATTACCGTATTTTTCACCTTATCCCAAGAAAGCTCTGAGCTTCTTTTGTTTGTGGGCGTTCTTCAGAAGGTAAACTAAATTTGTCCAGAATGGAACCTTGTATATTTGTCTATGAACTATTGGTGGTATGTTTTAAGGCTGTAACCTCACCATACATGTTGTACACTTTTCAAACCCAAGCTGAACTCACAATTGGCTGAAGTGAGAAAGAGAGCAGAGGTATCAAATCGGTTGGTTGAAGGTCCTAGAGCACTGCTGCAGCTGTCAAAAGCGTGCATCACTGTAAAAAGAGCTTTAGAGGACACTGAGGGGCAGGAGCAGGATGGCACATGCAGGGACAGAGAGAAAGAAAGGATGAGACCAGAGAGAGGCCCAGAGAGAAAGACTGAGAGACAAGAGAGAGAATGAACCAGAGAGAGTCAGTGGTAGTGGCAGTGCACACAAGACACAAAACTTGCTCCTTTCTATATCAAAAGGAAAACTGTCTACTGGCGGTTATATGATGTTATTGGGAGTGTACTTGTGTAATGAGAAGGGACTAACCCTTAACCCATCACAGTACTAACCAGGCCCTGCCATGCTTAGCATCAGATGGTGTTGGGGATATTGGCTTTCCATGCAGGTGGCGCCTTCGGCAACACTTTACATTGTTACTAAAGTGTTTTATTTTTGTTTTCAGTTTCAGTTTGTCCACACTAGTTCTACACGCAAACACATACAAACACACACAAAATACACATACATATAAGCACGAAAACACATACATACACAACCACACACACACACACTCCACAAGAAACAATTTTTACATTCTTCTGTATCATTTTGCATGAGTGATTGTTTTTTTTAAAATCTTTTACTGTTTTGTTTGAGCCTTGCGTATGAAACTGTTGCCATACAAAAAAAATTACCTTGCCTGCCTTAACACTCAACTGCCCCAGTCCAGGACGGGGCAGAGTGGCGGGTTCCTACATGACGAGGAAGGCCGTTCTCTTGCGGTTCTGTCGGCGGAGAAGGGGAAAATCAGCCCACTTTTCTCATTGTTGCACCGCGGTGGAATGCGCTGGTTTGGTGCATGTTTGAAAAGACAGGGCTTTTCTGATCTCGCTTAAACCCTCATCTGGACTTCCGGGACATCTATGCCGACAAAAGCGACCCATGTGAGAAGCAGAGAGAAGAAGAAGAATAAAAAAAAGAAAAAGTTGTGGATATTTTTTTTTTTTTTTGTAAACCCCCCTTCCGAGTCTGCGCACTACTCGCTGGAATCCCGGACGGCGGTGAGCGGCGAGAGTAAAACATTTTTTTTTTCACCATTCTTCTTTCGCAGTGTATTCTTTTTTTGTTTTTTTTTTTTTTTTACAGCGGATGTGGCCAAAGCAAAGGGAAACCAAGGGAAAGAACCAGACAGTGGACAGCAGAGACTTGAGTACGGAAGCGAAGGAAGGAGACGTGATAACATGGCAAATTCCACTGTGTTGCGTCAAAACTACCCACGTTCTGGCCAGACTTATATATGTATACATGTTATTGTGTGTGTGTGGCTGCCTACGTTTACACACACATATATATTTTTAACATATTCAGTTGCGGTCATTCCTGATACTTTTGACCTCCTCCACTACAGTTCTCATGATTACACACGTATCGCGTACTCTCGCGTTATTATCATATTTTTTCTCTTTTTTTTCTTTTTTTTTTTTATTACCTAACTAGTGTCCCACCTCCTAAAAAGGGAATAGGCAGCCCCAAAGTCAGAGCACTCGTTTCATCCTCTTCCCACACTTCCTCCCAGACTCGGTGCGAAGTACAGGGCGAGATTTGTCGGTGCCAACTTGTCCCGGATGGTTGTCTAATAATCACTCGGGGAGAGTTTGTTATGTGTTTTGAGATTTGAGATTTGTTTTGTAGAGTTTGTGGGTGAATTGTTTTGCAGTTACAGTTGTATGGCACTAGCCGGTCTGTTTTAATGTGCCAAAAAAAATGATTCTATAAACGAAAGCAGGCATGTCACATGTTCAGGACCGCGGTCAATGCGGTCCGTTGTGGATGTTGCGTGGCCCCCTCTGATTTGAGTAGGATTTGAGATCAATATATGACACAACTTCAATTCAATTCAATGTGTTTTGTGTTTTTTTTCCCCCCTTCTAAGCCCTTAAATCATACAGCGGTCATCGCGAGGCGTTTTGCATAAGTAGTGTGGAAACGCATATGAATATTGAAACGTGCTTTTGGGCAGTGGGCAGATTAAGAGATCTTTTTTTTGTCACGCAGTGGGGGAGGTTTCAGTGTGGCCTTCATTTGTTACATAACAGTAGAATTGAGGAAGAGACATTGCAAGATAAGGACAATAAATTTATAATAAAATAGAATAAAATCTCCAACTTTATTGCTTCCAGTAAAAGTTGTCTAACGTCTGTATCGTCTGACATAGTTAAAAAGTGAAAATCTTCTTGGAGTGAGAGCGATGGCGAAGTGAACTTGTAAACAGAGGCCGTGCACAAGCCCAGTTCTCCTCGCCTGCACGCTCTGTTTACAAGTCACTGTCGCCATCGATCACACTCCAAGAGATTTTCACTTTTTTACTATGTCAGGACGATACAGACGTAGGACAACTTTTACTGGAAGCAATAAAGTTCTGGAGATTTTATTCTATTTTCATTATAAAGTTATTGTTCCTTTATCTTGCCACAATGTCTCTTCCTCATTTCTACTGTTCTGTAACAAATGAAGCCACACTGAAACGCTCACCACCTGCGGGACAAATTAAAGATCTCTTAATCTGCCACTGCCCAAAAGCACTTTTCAATTATTCTATGCGTTTCCACACACTTTCAAACTCCTCGCGCTGACCGCTGTAGTGATTTAAGGGCTACACAAAAAACACATTTGAATTGAATTGACAGTTGTGTCTATTTGATCTCAAATCCTACATCAAAGCAGATGGGGCCACGCAACTCCACAAGGACGGCATTTTGACCGCGGGCCTGAACATGGACATGCCTGCTCGTTTAGAGAATCATTTTTTTTTTGGGACACATTACAAACATGACCGCTAGTGCATACAACATGTCTGCCAACACATTCACCCACAAAACTCTAAAAACAATCCAAATCTCAAAAACACAAAACAAACGCCCACCCCGTCAGTGATTATTTAGACAACCATCCGGACAAGTTGGCACCACAATCTCGCCCTGTAAATCCGCACCGAGTCTGGGAGGAAGTGTGGCGAAAGAGGAGGAACGAGTGCTCTGACTTTGGGCTGCCTATTCCTTTTTAGGATGGTGGCGACACTAGTTGGTAAAAAAAAAAAAAAAAAGAAAAAAAAAAAGATAAAAATATGTAATAACGCGAGGAGATACGCGATACGTGTGTATAATACATTAGGGACTGTATGGATGACGGTCAAAAGTATCAGGAATGACGCAGACTGATATGTAAAAATTTATATGTGGCTGTTAAAGTAGGCACCCCGCACACACACACAATAACATGTATACATATATGAAGTCTGGCCGCTAGAAACGTGGGTAGTTTGACGCAACAACGGATTGCATGTTATCACGTCTCTCCTCGCTTCGTAATCTAGTCTCTGCTGCTCTGTCTGTTTCTTTCCCTTGGTTTCCCTTTGCTTTGCCACATCCGCTGTAAAAAAAAAAAAAAAAAAAAAAAAAAAAAAACTAACTCTGCGGAAAGAAGAAGGGGGAAAAAAAATTGTTTTACCTTTCTCGCCGCTTCACCGAAGTCCAGGATTCCAGCCGAGAGGTGCGCAGACTTCTGAAGGGGGGTTTACAACAAAAAAAAAAAAATTCACAACTGTTTTCTTTTTTTTATTTCTTCGTCTTCTTCTTATGCTTCTCACCATGGGTCGCTTTTGTCGCATAGTGTCCGAATCCAGATGAGGTTTTAGAGCGGAGATCCCAGAAAGCACCTATCTGTACTTTTCAACAGCACAAACAAGCGCATTCCACCGCGGTGACAACAATGAGAAAGCCCGTTGGGCTGGAATTTTCCCCTCTCCGCCCGGGGACAGGGACCGCAGAGAGAACGCCTTCCTCGGCTGTAGGGACCCGCCTCTCTGCCCCGGTCTGGACTGTTGCAAGTGTGAGGTGTTAACGGCAGGCAAGGTAGTTTCTTTTGTATTGAACATGTTTCATACGGCAAGGCTCAAACCAAAACAAGTATAAACGATTTACAAAAAAAACAATCCTCAGGCATAATGATCACAGAAATGTAAAAAGTGTTTCTGGGTGAGTTGTGTGTGTGTGTGGGCTGTGTATGCT